TGTTTCTAAAGTAACTTGTAGTTCTGTGAGTAATTGCAAATATTACTCAAAGTGTAATTATATATTCAGCTCCCATAGAAGATACTTCCATATGAATATGTAAGGCAACAATTTTGGTTTTTTGTATTGAATACATTGAACACATCGTAAGAGTACAGCAGTGGTATTTGATTAGGATAGACAGTGAGTGAGCCACATAACATTAAAAGAGATGTTTCATGTGGACACTAAGACCAGTCACACAGTGAAGAAAATTACCATTGTCGTCAGAATAAGTGAGCGTTTCTGTAGTATGTCCCCACATTGTTTGCCAACTAACACAGAATTGTCATTATAAAAATCAAACTGGTATCTCAAATATCACATTTTACTTTTTATTTCGAGGATCCCTGGGCGTCGGTGGCACAGTGGTTAGGACTCTCGCCGACCATGGTCCGGGGTTCGACCTCCTGCAGACGCACACCTGATAACAATGGTCGGCCTGCAAAATTTGGACAACCAATATCACATGCTGAAAATTCCATACTTGTTTCAAAAATACTGTGTGGTTTCAGAATAAAAATTAATTTATTAATCATTTTCAAAATATGCAGACCATAAATGTTGCAGAATTATCTGTAATAATTTGAGTATTGAATCAGGTTGGGTCATTTTAAAAAATTCACCCCAGAAAAATCTTCATTTCATTTTCTAAATACACTGAGATTATTCGAAGTAATTTTATAACTATCCACTTTCTAGCTGCTTATGAAAACGTTGGTGGATAGAACGGCGCAGAATGATTGATCTAATTGGTAACTCAAGTTTCCACAATGGCAGTTGTTAATTCCTCTGCTAACTATCCTCAGTTACTGTTTTTTGTGTTCGACTTAACACTGCTTATTGCTAACGACTTCTTCAATTTAATATTTGTTTACCATTTCGATACTTCAGAATCCTAATTACTCGTTTCCGTTGAAATTTATCTCATATAATAAATAAACTTTCGCTTCGGTCGTTGGTAACCTTTCTATGGCTGAACTGTACCTGCTGTACACGTACATCTTATCGAGTATATCCTCGCGTTGTTTATTTCTAAACTTTGATCTCTCCGAAATAGTAATGCTGCACAGGGATAGTGCTTTTGACAGTATTTAGCCGAAACAACTCACAATCTGAGAACAGTTTCTAGAAAAATATTTTATGCCGGATTCTACCTAAAAATAAACTCTCTGACGTATTCACTTGGAACCTCAGTTGCAAATTATGGCTGAAATATATTAGAAGAAATCTGAAAACGTTTGGAAATGTGGTTTGTTTAATTGACTTATTTGTCATACCTGAAACCTGGTGTATTATACCACGTCAAGAACATCCTGATAATCCTGAACCATTAGAGTTGGCCGTTCCAACAAGCGTACACTGTATAGGCTATTAGTACATATATATATATATATATTATATATACGCCGTGATTATCACACATTGTTAGACAATGTGCTAACAACAAACCAACAGTAATGTCAATGATAACCAATAAGCATTTGTGTAGCAATGAGCATATCAATATAAGTATGTAGATTTAAACACAAAGAAATAATTAATTTTAATACTTCTAATATTCATTATAATGAACGTGATCATACTTCTCATCTGTCTACATTGTGTGAACTCTGAGATTATCAAAATTCGTCTGCATCCAGTGTCTGGAATAAAGTCTGTGCTAAATCCGTTTCGAAAACAGCTCCGGGCATTACAACGAAGGTGGACAAATTTATGGAATAGTGGAGATACACCAACAGCAGAACAGCTGCACAATTACTACGATGTAGGTTGACTTTAATTAATGTCAGCTTATTCGGAGTGTCACTGACATCTGTAATACTAAGTGAATAGGATATATCTGTATACTGAAATGACTGGTTAAATCTGTCGCTGAACATTTATGCAGTGCTATTCATTACTAATAGTCTAGAAGTAATATCTGGTCATATTTAGTAGTGTACATTAATTTCATGAAGATAATAGTGTGAATCGAATGTTTTCGAATATTTCATATGCAGGCTACATCAGAAGAAGTTAGGATACTTTAGAATCAAACAGGGAAATCATAATATTTCCTACTTCTGACTAAATTACAGGCATTATTCCTAATAATTCTGAGCACTCTACGGACGATGTATGATTACTATCCATCGTGTCGATAATCCCGTGGTTTCAGTTGCAGTTAGTTATACAATACCGTGCGTCATCTAAAAATTGAAAGTCGGCTCTATTTCGCTTTCTGAATCCAGAATACCAATGAAGAAACTAGTTATTCGACTTGATCTTATAAATCTCAAACTGAAATAACAATGACTGACAGATGTTTCTAAACTCATTGACATGATCACATCACAATGCCCACTGTCAGTTTCTGAATGCTGCTGTATGGTAAGAGATGTGATGTGATCGCTGACCCATAACACACACATCAATCATTACATGGTGAGTGACTGTATTTGGGATATGAGAACACAACACCACATTCATTAATAATTTTCTCAATGAACTAGCAGATAAGCGGAAATGCGGGAAAATATTTGTCAAATGTAAATGTCATGCGTGTAATGGAATTTTACTTGTTTATATCAAAATCTTTCATGACAAATTCAAAGCCATATTGGGGCACAAAGTAATATCACTGATAACCTCGTAATGGATGATTCTTTTAGTATGTATATGGACGATAAATATTTTATTATTATTTGTTGGATTCTGAGTGGAACATGGAGATTCGGTAGCATATATGTTCTCTGCAGTCTTATTCAGTTGGCTCCATGACTGTCAACAAGCTTGAATCCCGCTGTCATAATCTCAAGGTAGATTCTTCCCCACTCTGCGAGAGCCTTCATTGCTGTTGGTGACATCGTGAAAGCCGCTCGTCTAGGTAGTTGGACTAGATTACTGACTCTTTGGTAGGCGATTCTGAGAGTCACAGATTCCTGCAACTTCTCCACTATATCTTCTCATGAACACATCAAAAATCAGATAGAATACATGTCATTCTCAAGAAAAGGTAGACGAATCTACCTGGGCACAAGAAGGACGAGGGAACAGTTGCAGGTTCAGACCTTTATCTAGTGTAAGCAATCCTAAAGATGAACTGGGAAGTCTTCGAAGGGCAAGAAGTAGACCACAATTCTGGTTCAACATACAGAAAGTGAAGGAGAGAAATGAGAAAGTCACCTTGAATGCTTTATACTCATTTTAGTCAAGCAGATTAAGCAAAATAATGGGTGGCTCACATCGATAACTGGAATCTGTAAAGGAAACAAGGACAGTGTGGTACAAGGTGAGCCAGGGAAAAGATGAAAAACGAACGCAGCAGCTTAATATAACCCACACAGCAATGAACGAAAGAGTGAAGAAGAGTGCTAGGAAAGACGATGTCTCTTTTACTGCATACTAGCTGCTTAATCAGAAGACCGGCGATCCAAAAGAGACCTCACATTATCCAAATAATCAGGTCGCAATCCTGGAGGAGGCAAATGCAATGAAGCTATTGAAAAGAAGTAGTGAAACAACGGAAATATTGAGCAGACAATTTCAAAGGACACTTATCCAGAAATTCAACCAGCAGACACACAACGTTTTGCAAATACAAATTTTCGACGAAATCAGAAATAATAAATGCCATACAATTACTGTAGGACGGGGAAGTAGAGGGACCAGATTGAATTCCCTTTACTGAAGAAGAATTAGGGATGGCGGTAGAGATCCAAGCGATTATCTATATTCCGCAACTGAAAAATATGTGGAAAGAAAGACAGGTACCTGCCAGTTGGAAGTAAAGGCAAATTAATTGTATGCTAGAATCAGACTCCACTTCATCTCATATTTGGTAACCACTTAAGCAGTGAGAGGTGTTGTGCTGCAATCAGTTTAGGATGAAATCTTTGCAGAAGAGACAGTCAAAACAGACAATATAGCTGAGGATCTCAAAGCAGGAACGGTGTTCACTCCCTTGGAGACAGTGTGCCGTTCAAGAAGCACTACGCACAAGGAGGGAGTTTCGAATTTCTACAATAATGTTCAGTCAGTCTTTCTATATGATTCAGAGGTATATTGTGTCACAAAAGGCATCTTAGACAGGCCGTTTGAAAATTTCGTCCACAGCTGCCTTCTCGGTTATAAAGCACAAACAACAAGGAACTCCGTCAACGAACCAACCAATAACCTAATGCAGAAAACGTGTACAGAAAGGGATGGACACTGATTTTGTGTGTGTCGTGAATACCATGAAGTTCTTTTTATTCTTTCGCGCTCCCAGTGGGACATAGGGCTTCAAGCTAGAGGCTTGAAGTTTCTGTAGCCGTGTTCTTTATTTTCATGGGATGGGGTTGCTAGCCTCATGTCCAACCTTCCCTCCTTACCAATCCTACTACTGGTTTTGTGAGGTAAATTAGTGCGTCGACCGGGAATAGAAACTCGGACCATGTGCGTGGTCGTTGATCATTCTACCTTTGCGCCACCGACGTACATCAACTACGAGCCCTCAAATGGGAATGTGAATTGCAACCGAAAGGTTGGGCTTCCAAAAGCGACAAGCAAGAAGTCATGTGGAGGGAAGTGAGGGCTTGAAAGCGGTTTTGCTATCAGCTGAAACTGAAGACAGAGGGCCGAATAAAAAGGAGATATGTCTCCAGATCTCTTAGTTCCAATCGAAATACAAGGCATCTACCAAAAATATGATATTTTGTGGTGTTACTTTTGTGCAGTGATCTTATTAGACTCCTTGACATTACTAGTGATGGTCACATGTGACAGTCTTAAATGCTTAATAGCTAACGAAAATTCGATGTTAGTAATATTCTGATGAGTTGTAATTCAATATTATTTTATTCGAGGATATCACTTTCGTAAGGATAAGGAAAGTTGGTGGAAATTTATAAAATTGTCCACCTGTATTTTTCCATTGTACAAAGTGCAGGATTATCAAAATTTGCCAAACACTATCATTTTGTGTTCTGTTAATCGTAATGGTCATTTAAGTTTCAGTACTATGGAGAATTACAAGTGGGAACGCCACCACAAACGTTTCGTGTACTCTTCGACACAGGATCAACCGACACCTGGCTTCCATCAAGAAAATGTTGGTTTCTAGATATCTCGTGTTGGTTCATTCGATTTTATGACAGTTCAAAATCATCAACGTATCAGTCAAATGGAACAAAGTTTGAGGTAAAATACATCGTTGGTAGTTACTCTGGATTTTGGAGCATGGATACAATGCAGGTACTGTGGTTTTACGGTTTGAAGTAACACTGGTTTTAGATAAACTCCTTAGTTATTCGCAATCAGGCGTTTGCTGAAGTAACAAATGTATTCTCTGATGACTTCTTTGCTAATGAATTCGATGGAATAATTGGTATGTCAAGGAGAAATGTGTCAAGATATGGGAACACTCCATTCTTCCCCAACATACTTTCTCAATCAAAGGATATGGATCCAGTGTTTTCATTCTATTTGAGTCGGTAGGTTCTCAATCTACAGCATGATATCAGTGAAGTTACAATGAGCTATGGATGGATCGGGGAAGATTTACTGATATTCACGAATGTTCGTTTCCACATTGTGTGATAGTTTGTTATTTGGAATACTGAGAAGTAAATACGTTCAAGTAGCTTAAGACCAAAGCGAAGCACAATCTTTTGTTATGAAATTGTTCGTACAATTTCGTGAAATTTTGTTTCAAACTGAATAAATTATTTTGCATGAGCGTTAATAGGGGATATCTGGTGATGAAGAGAGTACGAAGCATCAACCATAAAAAGGCTGTCACACGAACATTGTTCGAAACATACGAAATGAAAGGCTTTTGGCATAATCTACTCCTCATATTCATGAGTTCCAGTGAGTGGGTCGATCACATGCAAGATGTTCAAGTGATGATTAATTTTAAGTGATAAAAGCATCCAAGGTACTTACTAAATGATATCGTTGTTTAAAATCATATTACTCAACACTACTTTTGAGTAACAAGTGAACGAATAAAAACTTTCCCCTCCATGATGTCTAATGGCACTACAAGATTTGAAACAATAACCAGTCGTAACACTGTGAAAGTTTATCATATCCGAATGTAGAAACAGTAAGCACAAAGACGTGCAGAATCAGAGATTTATGAGTGTTAAAATATGTTGGAGCTAATAGTTAATTCATTCCCTAGTTCCACCACAGTCTGTGTAAGTGTTTCTTACTATCATTCTGAAATACGATTTCGAACATCTTTTCACTTAGTGATAAAGATAGCACTTCATAAATGTATACTCGACGACTATTCAGTATGAGCACCATCTCCCAGCCCCAAGAATGTATAAAAAGAAATGTGGCATGATATTTAGAAACTACTGCTAGGTTACTTTATGAGTAATGTTCCCATGCATTGGAATTTCACGTAAATTTCTACGACACGTTTACTATGATTACCATTCACTTTCCCATTGATGAAATGCGAATTTGAACTCACCTCTAGCCTTGTAATCAACACACAATTATTATTTCTTGTATTTTGTAGGAAGAATGGTCTTGCTGGTGGAGAGATGGTGCTGGGTGGTGTTGATCCTGAATATTTTACTGGAGATTTCGAAAACTTGCCTGTCCTCTCTGCAAATCGTTGGATTGTTAACATCAAAAGGTAATTAGTGCATACTTGAATGAAGTTATTTACAAAGAATTCATCATCTTTCATATGCTTATGAAGATCGCAGGAAACAATTTCATGCTTATCACATTCGTATCATCTTAGCGAAGTTCTTTAGCATAATGGTGATTCTTATGTGTCGTAATAATAGAAGTCATATATTCTCGTATTCATTCACTGAACGAAAAAAGATTTGAAAATTCCAAGTGATTGAAAATAAATCGTTAACATTGATATCGCAATAGTATATTCGGAACAAGATTAACTTGGGCAAGCATTTCTTTGCAGTCAGTTCTCATCCAAACTTTGTGGCGACAAATACATGAATTGTAGAATTTATCAGCCAGTAAATGAAAATCAGAACTGTGAGAAAATGTTTCAGAGTATAAGTACATAAAGGCGCAATTCGTGGGAGCCATATCTACTGATAAATTAAGTCGCAGGTTGATTAGAACTATTGAAAGAAATTTCAGTGCCTCGGAATTACACACTAATTTCTGAACCAGACCTATACTGAAAAATTGCATTAAAGGTAAGTTACCATTGATGGTCACATCAGCACGTGTATACGAATTTAGCGGGTTCTGTGGAGTTAGTTGTTTAGGCCGTATTCATGTGAGAGTTCGGCTTGGAAAAGCAGTAATCTGGTGAATAAATAGTGTGGGCTTCCGGCATTTAGTGGATAGTGAACATCACATAAAACAGATGAAAAATTTGCAGTTGTATACTGAGCACCAAACAATCTGCGTTTACGTCTCCTGAAGTTACAGAGATGAATGAGAACACACCTGACGTGTGTGCGCAAAAGTGTACATTTGTAAAGACAGAAGACAAGGGCCAGGCAACAGATAGTTTATTGAGAAAATCAAGAGATATTTGTAGATTTTTATGTACATTATAATTCGTTATTTTAGCAGAGAAGCAAAGTCTTCCAGTTGCATTTTTTGCTGAAGGTTATTGTGTACTGCTTGTGACCGTTGCTTACAAGGTTATCCATATATCTGCGAATCGTATTTGCACACACTAAGTCTGCTTTGATTGGTTGTTGAGTTCCTCAAGGCTAGTCTTTTTTCTTGTTATTGTCTTTTCTCATGACCGTGATTCGGGACGTAAACACTGACGTCAGTTATTGTCTACAATTTTGTCTTGCTGACAGCCGTCACCACACATTCACCTCATAATTTCATTTTGGATTACTCTCTTCTTACTCCTCTTCACCTAGTTTACTTCATGCCATTATTGTCGTTATTGTCTTTCATCCCTCGGATTTTCAATAGACTTCTGTTGTCTCTATTAGTTGGGTTCAGTTCACTATATGTTCACTAAATTTTTTCATCATATGCTTCAGCTGTCATCCCTGGAACTCACATTCAGCAAACCCAACTTACTTATACTTCTGTAGTATTGATATGTTTTCAGAGCAAAACAATTAGAGGGGACAATTGCTTTTGATAGATTCTCCTTCAGACTCCACAACTATTTATACATTAATCTTTGGCTCAGAAAAGTCACTAAAGCCAAGCTAGATTCATATCAGAAATTATATTGTGGTACTGGTACCTGACTGAAAAATAGTCAGTTGGTTTTGACTGTTGCTTGAATCCATATGAAATGTGTAGTCAATAAGCACGTGGGACTAAATCAGATTCAATAATTCAGTGGTGTGTGTTTTTGCATGTAAACTCGACAAAAAGTACAGATTTATTGGGCGAGTGTAGTTAGTGACGTTAGAGACAACATAATTACTGCTTATTAGGAAGAGTAGTTTTGTGATCAATACACCATTTGTTGTAGAGACTAGTTAATGTTCCAACTACGTTTTACCCTGTTTAGCTTGAAGGTGAATGGAGTGGAGTATTGCGATGCAGCATGCTCTGGTATTATAGATACTGGGACATCCTTGATAGTCGGATCTAATGCAGTGGTGGGTAAAATTAATTCCCAACTCGGTGCCGTATCTGCAACGGATGGGGAGTATAAAGTCGACTGCGGTAATCTCAATAACCTTCCTCCCATTGAGTTTATCTTCAAGGAGAGAAGATATGTATATCAAGCAAAAGATTACGTGGTTAAAGTAAGTATAGATTTTCAGTTGAATTTTCTGATATTCTGTGATGAGCAAACGTTTATTCATTCTTCGTTGTGAATATTTCAACCATCATTTTATTTTAAATCGTCAGTGAATAAAGTATGCCCGAATTGATTGCCAGGGAACGCTGAGTCAGTCAAAGTAACGCCTAAATCATACTTGTTGTTATGAAATAAATTTCAACACATTTTGAACTCCATGTGAACAGATAGACAGTGTCACTGTTATTCATTTATCGGAGTAAGTTTTTCTTTGATAGCGATATGTTCTTCTAATAAGCATTTTCATGGAACTATTTCAATCCAGTCGTGTCACAAAGTCGGCATTAGGTTGACTAAGTCCTTCGCTCCCGATTCCGAGGACGTTTCATAAATATATGCATAATAATACACTGTTCTACCTATAACAAAAAACAGGGATTATCTTTGTTGCTCACTAGATTCAGCAACTTCCAGATCTTCTGTTGCATTTGGATTCTCGAAGAGGAACGTACAGCTGATCAGCTAAATGACTCACAGTGACTCAAATATCAATAGGACAAATTTCAAGAATCCAGGCGGATTGATCGGGTACGATGACACTAAAATTGCGATAGTGGGTGAGATAAAACGACGAAGTAGTTAAGTTAGAATTCTGATGCAATTAATATCTATAGTCACTTCTAGACACTGAATTAAAGAAATCTGAAGAAGGTCTTTCCATTTTCACATTTCAGGATTCCAACTGGCTATCAACAGACTGTCTATCGCCTTTCAGAGGCAGTGGTAAATTGTCCAAGGGATTCTGGATTCTTGGCGATGTATTCATGAGAAAATTCTACACTGTATTCGATTTCGGTGAGAGGGAGATAAGATTGGCTGATGTTGACGATGGATAAAGCTTTTGGTACCGAAACCATTAAATCACTGAACATAAACATGTTTTACGAAATAAATTAAGAAGTTCTTGTTTAGCACAAATCATTTATTTCTTGAAGATGTTTCGAAAAATGGATAATTGCTGAGGGTGTATACGTCCGTTTAGAATAGTATAACCTGTGGCATTTTAATAACTACATCGGGAAACGCTTTTAATATATTGAATTACAGTCTACAAAATTATTTGAGGAACCTGCCTTTTTAAAATTAGCAACTAAAATGAGCATTTTAATGATCACATACTAACTAAACTAAAAATAAACTTTGATGAGAACATGGCAAGTTTAGTTTCACGAATTTTGCGATTTTCGAGGTGAACAATAGCATACGAAGGACATAACTGTTCGTTATTTGGATCTCAAGTTGAAGTTTTCCATCTCAGAAAGTTGACATTTCTGTCTTGCTGATGAATATCTGATTAACTGTACTTGTCTACCGGTTAGTTAATGCTTCTGCATATTTCATCTGTTTCGTAATTCATCCATTCACATTGATCCACCATGCGAATCACAAACTGTTCTGAGAACTCATATTTTCACAAGATTTCTACAACATAATTGTCTTGACAGTGTTGCTGGCGTTCTCCAGCGAACGTATTCGCACATAACTTTGCCTGAAGAAATCAGACAAACTGTGCAAAGACCTCAGACAATAATCATTCAATATTTTAGTTTGCCTGATACCACCCTGCTTTGATAGTTAATGATTGCATTATATCCACCGCCTATGGTGTATATATGAACTTTAGAATTCGATGTCCCATCAAGAGTAAAACTCGTCACCTTGACATTCTAGTTGAGCATATGTACTGGAATGACCCAATAATCTATACTAGTCAACACGAGCTCTCTCGAAGACGTTCTTGTATCAGACAGATCAGCTGGGTAGTGAATTGACTAAAATCACTTACAATCATAGTGTGCGTTACTTTAATTATGATCGTCATTTGGCATTTAAGAGATTGAGGCATTCCTTATACAACGAAAGTGTTGAAATTCAAAAATACACCCAACCAAAATGATTGATCTACAAAATTTATCATATTGGTATCAGGAGGTTGTTTCAGTAAGGGCAGCATCAGCCTCTGGATCAATGTCTACGACAATGATGGAGTATCTTTAAACTCATCTCTGCTTACTCAAATAACTAGATGTTGTTTGGACAGAGTAAAGGATAAGGTTTTTCGAAATACGTCATGTTTGATGCTAGGATCATGTAGGATCAAAATCGAAGTTAGCTCAGATTTGCTGATTTAAGTATCCTGACACTGTGTAACTATTACTAACTATTTATTATTAAATGATAATTGAGAAACAAGCCTTTAACTACATTTCATGAAGTGATATGTGATCTCCTGTGATATTCCACCCCTAAATGTAAATTAGCAAATGATATAACCTAGGAAGTACTATAAAATTATAAACTACAACAGTTTTAACCTCAATAGACTGCCACATAAAATGACACCAAAGTTGTACATAAAAAATTCAACAGAATCTTTGGAGATTCTAAATATGATTATATTCGTGGGATAATACGTTCAGCTTGTGATAGAATGTTCATCGAACAAGCTCCTTGAGAAGCCAAGGTGGGAACAAGGAGTATGCTGAACCTATTGTTTGATCACCTGAAAGCTTAATAGAACATGAAAAATTTGAAAAATCTTCAGCCGCGAACTGGCGTACTCATACGTGGGACCATAATACTGTCTTTCTTAATGACAGAATCATTCAGTAGAGTCTGCATGTAATAAGGGGTCTTATAGCAGAAGCATCACACATGAGACAAAATCCAATTTATATGAATAGGAACGGGTGAACAGGACAACATTTGAGCTGGTTTTAGGGGTTTATCAGCCGCTAAATTTGTCACTGTTTACAAATAAATTTGTTTACCTAAGCAATCTAGAGCTGACAAATCTTCACTCCATGTTTCTTTCAAATGCCTCCATCAGTTTCTTTGTGTTTGTCAAAACAGATGATGACAAAGAAATATCTGAGCTTATTCGGAGAAACTTGCTGATGAAAGCCACTTAAATATTCAGCACTGCAATTGCTTCTCACTTTAGGAATGTTAGTCCTGAAATAAAACTCACGCTTTTTAGCATGTTGAGAAATATCCACATACGCAAGTGCGTTATTATCACTTCAATTCGTTCAGTTGCTGTACTTAGCCTCACGTCGTAAGCGAGTGTAATTTTTGGTAAATGGTTGGGAAGTTTCTATTCAGTGAATGAATTTAGAATGGCATCTAATGAAAAGTTTTTGATTAAATTTCATAAGTTCCTAATTTGAAATGCATGAATTTCTAAAGAAGAATTTAATATGGTGCTTTTAGGGTGCTTCACCAACGGTATAAAGAGCTTGTCATAAAAAGAATGACCTTGTCACAAAAGGGATTAAGATAGAGCGATCTGTGTGACGAAAAATAATGGAGACGCTTAACAACACAGAGAAATGTTTGGATCGATGCAGTAGATCACTGATAAGTAAGAGGAATATTCAGGTTCCGTAATAGTGGATTGAAAGAGAGGGAATAAAATAGTCTTTAACTATTATGCCACAAGAGTATGGAAATAATTTGGGTAAAACATAGTACTGTATTGAGTAGGTTTATTTTATATAGCAAACAGTTATATTGTGTTTGTCAATTGTTCGAGAAACAGAATCTTGAGGAGAATATAGAGGAAATGGGAGGGGAACTGTAAGTGGTCTGATAATGTTGGAGGTGCAGTGTTATTAGATGAGGACGATTGCGTGAAAGAAATGTTATCGATTTTGAAAAGTCAAACTAAGTATCAGTTTAAATGTCAAAGCTGAGCACCGAATGAGTGATTGTCTTAGGAAGTTGCGTTGGAGAGTAATGATGTCGACAACGATGTATGAATTGATGAATCCAACAGACATCAACGCTTCACAACTTTAAGATCTACCCAAATTGTGCACATCGCAAGATCCTACTCGTTTAGTTTTAGATATGTTTGAGTCAGCATATCACTGAAACTAAAACTGATTGTTCGAAATTCGTGGAGTTTTGCACGAAGAAAAGTATGAGATACAGATTTAATGCACTTTGTCTTCTCCTGCAGAATATCTGAGAAGGAATGTAACTAACAATACTTTAATATCCACTGATTCATCCTCCTTGCTCACAGATGTTGAGACAGTGGACTACATATGCCAACCAATTAGTCGAAGTCAATAGGACAAGTGATTACCCTGTCTGGCAGCAAATTTAATCGTTTAATATATAACGTACACTTTGCATTCAACAATATATAATACCGACAACTAGATAGAATCTCTATGGGCTCACAATCAGATCCAATTCTAGAGGACATTTACCTTATGAAAATGAAAGTGGTCTGTTGACGCACATTGTTGCTATAAGGACGATACAGTTGTCTTAATTCATGGGAATATTAATAAGAGTGAATTATTTATGAAATTCAATAATATCCACCCTTGTCTCATTTCGACGCAACAACTGCATCAAGAGAACACTCTCTATTTTCCGGAGGCCTTGACAAGTAGGAAAGAAAATGGTTCACTTGGAAGAAGCATGTATGAGGAAGACACATTCAAAGAACAGTACACTTACTTCCTTAGTTATGTACCTATTAAATGTTATAGAAATATTGTGAAATGTCTTGAGAACACAGCAAGAAGCATTAGTAGGAAAGACTATTTGAAACACCATATTGAACATGAGTAATCAACTAGTTTTGTTTCGTAATCTGAAGGTCTAAGGTTCTGCCGGTGTGTAGTCATGTGTGTGTGCTGCCAAAGATTCTCAAGATCAGACTAAATAGCTATTCAGTGCTCTCTGAATTTCATTGATCATTTTATTGGTCTTGACGTAATCAAACAGCTGTACATGGTCCCTTGATAGATGTGATTTGTTGGGACAGTTTCAAAAAATGAACATATGAGCAAATTCGATAGAAACATAAAAATGTTGACGAAATGGAAGGAACTATTATATCATAAATATAACATTTCCCATTGTGACATAAGGAACACACTATTCGTCAAGGGGACTCTTCAACAAATTTATTATCACATTGTAAATTTGTTAACATATGACTTGTAAGAAACTACATTCTGTGATGAAATTTAAACAAAAGGTGTGAATACTCATATTAATAATGCGATATGCAATAGCATATTTGTGATTATAATCACATTTTGAGATTGATAGGTAAAAGAAGTTATATCACACCTAAAATAGTTCATAAAGTGTGTAGACCTTGAGAAGGGAATTGAAATTAATACGATTATTATGATTAGTAGGCAAACTGAAGCATTTCGTCACATGGTGAAGTTTACTCTTACTGCTATGACTATATTTCCAACCTTACCGTCCCTTGCATGAAAACAGTTGCAGATTCGAAACCAAGCAGCCTGAGATAGAAGTCACCGAAAATAATTTTCAACTCGAATGTTCCTTATGCAGAATATTAGAACAGAACTTCTCAGTTAAACAAATTAAACATATTTAGACACATCTTGAATGAAGCATGCTTATGTCGATGAAAACTCAGTCACACATACACATTTATGTTGTATCCAGGATTGAATGAGAATGTAAAGAATACAGAATTAACACTATACATGAATTAAGTTCACACGTGTCATGATTTTCACACATCACGAAATAACACACCGACAACAGACTAAATCTAGATGATCTCCAATCAGAAATTCCGTCGTTGTAAGCATGTCAATATAACAGTGTGTATATAAACAGAAAGACACTGCCAGCATTTACGCTTCTCCTTTGACTATTCATTGCAATGAATCTGATCATACTTCTCATCTGTCTGTATCATGTGAATTCTGAGATTATCAAGATTCCTTTGCATCCCGTGAATGGAATTAAGTCAATTCTAAATCCGTATTGGCAGTTCTTGAGGGGAATACAGCGAAGCTGGATGAAATTATGGAGTGGAGGAGAAACACCAAAATCACAACAACTGTATAACTTTCATAATGTAAGTTGATCTTCACTTATAATTTTATTGAGAAATGAACAAGAAG